CTTTTTTAACTTTATTTTTATTGTTGACACTATTACAGCTGTCTCCAGCCCCCCACCCCGTGCCCACCTCCACCCTGTGCCCCCTCCCTCTGGCCGCCACCACACTGCCATCTGCGCCCATGAGCCATCGAATCTGCGCTCTGGCTAATGCCTTCCTCTTCTTTCATCCAGGCTCCCCTCCCCCATCACAAGGTCTTTTTGTGTCTAATGTGTTTATAATAAAATGATGAAAACCTTGCTTAAGAAGGATATAATGTTTTGCTTTTCATAAAAACTTGAGTAGCGGCTGGAGAAGTGAAAATAAACCTCGTATCAATTCGAAGGAGCTCAAGGTTTGATTAAAATGCATTATTCTCTTTGGTTAAAGCCACCCTTTTATTTCTTCTCATGTGTAGCTCCTCTCTTGCTGGGTTGTTTGCTCTCTCTCTCTCTCTCTCTCACACACACACACACACACACACACACACACACAGCACTTACTAAAAGAGAAGATGGGTCATTTTAGTACATTTGGTGTAATTTTCTGAGATGGCTTCATGATCTCCTCATCATCTGTCGGGGGCCGGAACAAGACACTGACAGCCTTGGCATTCAGCCCATGTTTTCCTCCGGCTTTTATTGCCTGTGCAATTTCTGCTCCTCAGCAAAACCAGCACGTCCCTCCTCCACCCGCCAGGGTCTGGACTATGCATTTAGCAGATGGCCTTGTTATACAATCATGTTTAACAGAATTAGACAAGATCACTGAATTTCAGGGATTCCTGACCATCACAGCTGTTTCTTCTCTGAAATGCTTTCACTCAATTAATATGTGTAAGATGCTCCTCTGGTCAACCTTAGTTTTCCAGTGAGCACCAGTGTGGAAACTTGAACACATCTACTTTTTGAATAGGAAAAAAATTTTGGTGCCAGCAATAAAAAATACTTATGACTCTTATTTACATATGTGTGCTGATGACAATATTAGGGAGGACCCCAAAAAACCCAGAATTATTTTTCAGAGGGTGGGTCCCTTGTAGTACAGGCTCCCCCCACTAGGTGAGTGTTCTAGGAACCCATCTGTAATCGTGTAGTAGCTGGTGTTGTTGTGAGAGGCTGCGTTCAACTTCAGAGAATTTCTTTTTGAAGACTCAACACTTTTGCCCACTTCATAATGGGGTGATTTACAAGCACACCTGCCCACACCATGCTGAGTGTTCAGCTTGTTTGACCAAAAAACAGCATGACCCCACCCCCTGTGCTGCACCCTCTCTATTCACCTGATCTTGCCCTGAGCAACTTGTTTTCGTTGCCTGATGAAAAAGTTTTCAAAAGGAAACGTTTTCCAATGTGGAAGGGGTGAAACAAAAATGGCAGAGGCACTAAAAGGCATCAAAATTGACAAGTTCAAAAACTGTTTTGAGCAGTGGAAAAAAACATCTCAGTAGGTGCATTGCATCAAATGGAGAGTATTTTGAAGGTGACTGACGTTTAAACATGTAAAAATAAATACACGATTCTTTATAAATAAATTCCAGTTTGGGGGGGCCTCCCCTTGTATTTATTGTAAGAAGTCTAAAAACAATACTGAAAAACAATACTGAGTAGTTAAGCCAGATGTTAGAAAAATGATTCCAAATATTGTTTCTATAACAGAATCTCTATATTTTTACAACTGAATCTCCCATTTCTATCCATTATACCCTACTTTTCTTGGGACGCTGAGTCAAAATTCCAGGCTCCTCTTTAACATCATGTCTTCCTCCCACCCCACCTCCTCTGTCTTCCGTCACAGCCCATCATTACCAAGTAGTGTCTATTTTCCATTTACACTACTTTGTCAGTTCCTTCCTTTCAATTGCCATTGTCATCATCCTAATTTGGGCTTAATTTGTGTGAAACTAAACACCCCCAAATGGCTAAAGGGTTGAGAGGAAGAGCTTTTGCCATTCCTGCTACCCAGTAGAGCATGGTCATGAGAAATGGTAGAAGTCCTTTATGTTTCATCTTCCCAGGGGACAGGCGAGTGGTGGAATTAGACCATAGCTGGGCGGCAGCCTCACAACAGCAGGAGCCACCTCCAGTGAGGACCCAGCCACCGGGACAGTATGAGTGGTTCTCAACCCAGCAGGGTCTCTGTAGCTGTGTTCTTACTCCCATAGTGCTACATGTCTGGGGCAGGGGAAGTAAATGTCACACTCTAAATTAAGTTTGGGGACTATGGGAACTGAATAAGCAAAATAAAATAATATAAATTAGTGCGCCTAAGAAAAAGAATAGCTCCAAAATACAGAGTCTTGTTTTAAAATTTGATTGAAGAGCTGTCATTTATTAAACTGTGTTCTGCATAATCTCATTTTAACGTAACCACATCATTTCATTCTATAAGCAATCTAATTTCATTTTTATACCAACATATAATGGTCTTATTTTACAGATAAGGAAACTGAAGTCAGAGAAGTTAAGAAACTGTCTCCTTTGTATATAGCTAGGAAACAGGGGCAGTAAGTTTTGAACCTGTCATCCACCTCCAGCATCCTAGAATGCAGGTTTTCAAAATCTTCGGTGGCCTTACCTGTCTGAGGAGTTAAGTAGCTTTGATTCTGTTCATGTTCATCAGGTTGATATCCCTTTCTATGATAAGCCATTTTACAATATTTTGTAAAAATACCATAAGACCTTTCCCAACACAGAAAGCGTACGCACACACAACCCAGTGAAGTGGGTATTATTAGCCCCATAGTACCAGAAAAGAAAACAGGAGCTCAAAGAAATCCAGTCTCTCGTCCACTGCCACACAGCTCGTCAGTGAGAGTTGGGGACCCAAAAGCAGTCTGATTCCCCTTTCCTTGCTCACAGGCACTCTGCTCAATGATATTAAGTCTGAATCTAGAAGTGACTGCACGAGTAAGGCTTTCCACCCTTGTGGAAATGGAGGCTTGAGAGCTAAATGAGATTCATTTATAGAAAAATAGGGAAGTTACATGTCTAATTCCTGAGGTACACCTGTACGTTTCAACTCTGCTATGCTAGTCACCAGGCCTGGTCGCTGGCCTAAAAGACAGTTTTCCTCTCAGTAGGTCCCTGGGGATTTGGTGTCAATGTAGAAAGGCTTTTTGGGGGGGGGGGGTGGCATTCTTATTGCAAGAAAACAAGGATCAGAGAAAATGTTAAATAGGGTCATAAATCACGAGACACCTATATTCCCATATAAGAGGCGGAATCGGGGCCAGAACCAGGTCTAATGAAGAGGAACTCTGAAAGCCTCAAGACTATCATAAGGGATAAAAATTCAAATCAGTGGCACTAATGGTCTCACCTTAGCGGAGAACATTTGCTTGACACAGATGAATACATACTGTATTAACATCATCAGTCACTACAAATTGAATCAGCCTCAGTAGATAAAGGTATTGCTAGCAAATGGCCTCGAATGACTTCTCTCTGACTGTTAAGAAGGATGAAAAAGACATATTTAAGAGGTAGCCTCTCTGTTCCCTGTCCTGCTCCTCTTTCCTCCCCTCCCTCCTTGAAGGGAGTATGCCTGGAGAGAAAAGTTGTTTCATATTCCTCTCCTCCCTGGCCCTTTCTTAGGAGACTTCACAGGAAGTCAGTGGACTGGCTATTTACCGATACACCCCTTATTTCCTTGAACTTTGTCTGAGGCACAGCCTTATAAGGAGCAATTACTTTCTAAATTAACTGTCTAAAACTGCAACCCAGGAGTTGAATGTCATTAATCACCCAACATACAATATATTTTGGGAAGAAATCCCATAGAGGATATAAATTTTGGATTATTTAATATAGAATACAGTACTATACAGTACTATATTTTTTGGGGGGAGACACCCCCCCAAATAACAAAAACTAACCATCACTGATTAGACTCATACAGTAAAACCTATGAAGAAAAATTTAACTAGATGCTCTTGAAATTGCTGCAGGTAGGATGCATTAGTATACGAATCCATGTACAAAGCAATGCTCATCCACTCTGAGCCCACTGTCATGTCTAGGCTGGTGCCATGACTACTTCTTAAAAATGTGTAAGAACATGCTGCAGTATCCTCTCTGCCCGATCCCAGAGGGGAAGGGAAAGCTGAACAACTGAAATCAGTGATGTGTACTTAGGCAGCCAGTTGATTGGAACGCTGCCCCAAACCAGAAAAAGCTCTACGTATGGAAAATACTCAATTAGGGGAGGGGTGGTGGAAAGAGACGAGGCTTTAATAAGTAGTTGAAGCTGTCAGTTAACTATTAATGATTTCTAAGTATTTATTGAAACCATCTTAACATAACCAACATAAAAGTGAAAACTGAACCCTAAAACCAAGAAGTCTAATGTTCTCTGCTGAAAACCCTGATTACTAAAACAATTCTTTAAAGCCAATCCCAGTTTCCACATGCCTGCACAGAACGCGAATGACAGCGCTCTGCTTCCCCAGCTGCCTGCGTCCTCGGTCTGGTTCAGGTAATCAAGGACAGTTTGTGATTTCTATTACGAACCAGTTCTTTTTGCTTCACTTTAGAATGTTCGCTCCATCTTGGAAAACCCAAAGTACGGCTGAAAAATATTTATGCTCTAAAAACGTGGGCTTTAGGACAGCGACGATGAGGTTCGCAAGTTAAGTAATAGGAACTGTGAGATCAAAAGGGAATATGTAAAATGAAGTGCTCTAGAAAGGCATCCCATGCAAGCTGTCTTTGTCGACCAAATTACTGAGAGGCTTCAAATAGAAATCTTTGTTGCAAAGTCAACAAGTTTTATATCCACTGCAGTTTTTAAAAAAGTCTTCTTGCTTTTTTTTTTTTTTGACAGGAAAGGGGTTTACCCCTTTGTTTGGTCTACTTTCAAATTCCTGTGCAAGTCACTCTGGAATCCGACACAGACCCTGTGTGTGCTGTGGGTGAGCTGGCCTTCACCTGTCTGAGAGAGCTGCGTGCACAGGATGCATTTCCCAGGGAATGGGCTCCTTCTAGGAAGTGGGCTCTCTTAAGGGAAAAGAAAGAAACCTTACCTGGGTAATCATTCTTGTCTATGTCTGAGTCTCCTCTCAACGTGAAGCCGAAGCCAGAAGGCATAGTCTGCGAGGCCCACATTCCTTGCAAAATTTGGGAAGCCTTGGTGTTTAAGCCGTGCCGGTTCCCGTTGTAAATGAACACTTTGCCTCTCTGATCTGGGCCTGCAAAGGGTGCACTGATGGCAACGTCTACAGAGACACATGAATGCATTTTGTAAATAAAGAAGAATGTTTTGTACTACAATTAAGCACAATCAAAGAGCAGTACCATACAGTTCAAAGGGCTTATTAAGTTTCTCATGAAAATTTGTAGTACTGCAGCAAGAGTTCATTATTTGTTGTCTTTTATCCACTCAACGCAAAAGGTACAATACAAGATACTTAATACCAATACCTGCCAAAGGTACTAATGGATACTGATCTGGTGAGAATAACCCCTAGGCTATTTTGCTAGAGCAAACTCCTATTCATTCCTTGAAGTTCAATCAAGAAACCTACTACATGTTGGTTCTTAACTTAGAGGCCCTGAAAATGGGGTACCCAAGACTTTGTGTGAGCTTGCATGTTGAGGAGAGAGTACTTATAAGACATTCATAAATTCCTAACTTAAAGAACCACAACCTTAAACTAAGAATTTAACACTATTTTACTGCAAACATTGAAGATGACTGTCAGCTGAAGTTTACAGAACAATTAAAATTCAGCATCATCTATACATAACCCGTGCAGATTAATCAGAAGGCCATATTACCTGCTAATACACAAACATATATTTATTTGTTCTTGACTTGGTACATATAGAAGATTCTCTAGTTCTCCTCAAGTCACTATATCCAAATATCAGTTTTAAAAATGACCTCTGCCTTTATTTAGAGTGGTTACATAACACCCTAAATCAACTTGAGAAAATTTCCATGTAACACCTATATTAATCAAAACATATACATTTTAAATTGCCTTGAGATTGTTGATAGTTTATTAAAAATCAGCTGTATCACACACACCACTGTGAATATCTCATAATGTCCAGGCAACAGCAACCCTGCATTACAACACATAAACAGTTTCCGCACACTGCCACAAATTACCATTGTATCCGTCTTGGTTCAGGTCTCCTAGGTGTGCCACGGCGCTACCAAACCTTCCGAAAACCTCGGTGCCTGTGAGGACCTGCGGGTCTTCAAAGAGGAGAGCGCTCACTTGCATATACAGGTAAACTTGACCCACTTCTCTAGGGTTACTCTCGAATTCACGTTCCATAAAGAGAGGGGCCCCAATCAATATGTCATCCATTCTGTAGGGAACAAACACAGAGGTCAGCACACTGGCAGACATGAGGTCCTTTTGGGACATTTTAAATCAACTACATTAGTACATTTCCATTGGTATTTTTCCTTTTGCAAGGGCATTTTACAATCATCATCTTTCTTTCACTGTTTTGTATATCTATGGAATAGAATGCTGTGAGAAAACAAGAGTTGCTAAATCATCACATTGAAATTTTTAACTCTGTTAAAAGCGACTACTTTAAGAAAACCATAGAAATTTCACCCTTTTCAGCATTGAGTGCATTTCCAGAAACTGTGATACACAAGTGAAACATATCAAAAGGACCTAAATACATTTTTGTAACAGTGGATTACAGGTTTCCAGAATTTATATAACTATAAATTTAAATTATGAAGTTTTCTTGCAATAATAAGGTTTAAAACAAATTTGTCCTATTTCCTGTTGCTATCCTCACTTAAATAAAATAGAGACCAGAGAGGGTTATAGCACTGGCTAGAAAGATAGAAAATAAAATTTTCATCCCAAAAGAGATATAAAATTTTTTTTAAAAAATGTAGGTATTATAGCAGAAAACTAATAGATAATTTTTAAGGTTGAAAAAAATTCAAGAAACAGACACCTAACCACATTATTTAGAGATAAAGACAAACACCAAGAGAACAAAAACCAAAAATGGTTAAAGGTATTTCCCTTACAAAGCCAGACAGCAAAAAAAAAAAAAAAAGTAACAGAATAGAGCCTTCTAAGGTATTCAGGGCTTTAAAAACATATACATACATTATAGTCACATGAACCAAAATTCATAATTTGATCTGTACTAATGACCTCTATTAACATCCATCTGGAGGCGCCCAACCCTGGAAGTGCTATACAGTGAGTGACCCCAGACAGAAGTACAAATCTGCATTTGACTTGCATATCTGTGTAGATTAGCTAATATGTATAAGTTTTCCAAGTAAACTAATTACTAAAATTTTATCATTAATCTAAAAGGCAGGGATGAAGTGGCAACAGATATTGAGAGCGAGACACTTCTTTTACAGTAATCTGCAAGACACGCCAGCATTACTCTGGACCACCACTCTCTCCAACTTGTTTTCCTTGTAGCGCTCATCGTATTTCTCAGGATGATTAAACAGATACCCTGTGTACCAACTATATTTAAGATACTATGAGAAGTGATTTAAAGAATTCAGTGACTCTTGGGTCAACCCTGTTCCTAATTAACTGAAAAGTGAGGTCAAATTGCTCCTCTTATAACGATAAACAAGGAAGGCACAGCAAGAAGTATGAGTGGTCCAAACGAAAGGCTGGGAATTCCAGATGGGGAGAAAGCCAGAGCTGGTACTTGGAGGGTGTTAAGGAAGGCTCAGGGAAGAGAAAGTATTGAACCTGAGTGGGATTCTGACAGGTAGATCTAGAGGCAGGCTTTCCAGGTGGTGGCGCTGTGAGCCCAGGCTAGTGTTCCTGAGTGGCGTCAGGGAACAGTGAGTGGTTTGGAAAGCTCCATGCTAGAGGATGCCTATGATTTCATTTGGAAAAATAAAATATACAAAGAATTCTTAAAATGCATAATATGAAATAGCAATAATAATATATAACAATAACATAAAATATAATACTGTTATGTATAACCCTATATGTTATTATTATATAAAATCAATAACAGATGGTCATATAATACAAACAATAGGAAAACAACCCATTAAAATCAGGCAAAAGATCTGAATAGACACCTCATCAAAGGGGATATACAGATGGTGAACGTGCATTTGAAAAGACGCTTAGTATCACATGTCATTAGAGAACTGGAAATTAAAACAACAGTGAGATACCACTACACACCTATCAGAATGGCCAAAACCCAAAACACTGACAACACCAAATGCCGACGCAGGTGTAGAGCAACAGGAACTCTCACTCATTACTGGTGAGAATACAGAATGGTACGGCTACTTTGGAAGACAGTTTGGCAGTTCCTTATAAAATGAAGCACTCACACCACATGATCCAGCAACTGCATGCCTTAATATTTACCAACACGAGTTGAAAACATGTCCACACAGAAACCTGCACATGACTGTTTAGTTTTATTCATAATTACAGAAACTTGGAAGCAGCCAAGAGGTCTTTCAACAGGTCAATGGCTAAACAAACTGTTACGTCCAGACCAATGCTGACAGCACCAAATGCTGGTGAGCATGTGGCGCATTAGACACTCTCATTCATTGCCGGTTGAAATGGAAAACAGCACAGCCACTTTGGAAGACATCCTGGCAGTTTCTTAACAAGCTAAGCATAGGTCTACCATATGAACCCATAATTGCTCTCCTACGTAGTTACCCACAGAAGTTGAGAAAACATGTCCACACTAAAACCTACAATTGCCCAAAACTGGAAGCAGCTAAGACACCCTTCAATAAGTGAACAGATAAACAGACACTGGTGCATCATACAATGGAATAATTTTCAGCAATAAGAAGAAATGAACTATCAAGCCACAGAACAACACAGAGGAACTGTATATTATTAAGTGAAAGAAGCCAGTCTGTGTGATTCTAAGTTTATGACATTTTGTAAAAGGCAAAATTACAGAGCCAGTAGAAAGACCAGTAGTTGGCAGGGAATGGGTGAGCTGAAGGATGAGTAGGTGGAGCAGAAGACAAGTTTACGGCAACAAAACTGTTGTTTCTGATACTGTATGTGGACCCATGACTTAGGCATCTGGCAAAACCCACAGAATGTACAACACAGAGTGAACCCTCAACTATTTAGCTAATACTGTACCAACATGGGTTCATCGACTGTAACAAGTGTACCAACTGCCGTTAACAGGAACACCGAGGGCAGAGGGGAGAGGGAGTGTGTGTGAACTCCCTGGACTTCCTGCTCAACTTTTCTATAAACCCAACTCTGCTCTAAAAACCTAAAGTTGATTAAACAAAGATGATAATTGCAAAACTACGTTGAGCAATGATAACATGAGTATAGCATGAGTTCTGGCATCATACTAACCTAGATTTAAAATCTGGCTGTTAATAACTAGCTGTGTCATATTGAACAAGTCACATCACCTCTAAAATGTGGATAAGATAGAAATAGGCTACTTCATTACCTGCATCACTTAACATCTCTGTTTGTCTGTTATTCTCTCCCTCCAAATGTGCACACACACACACAGGTTATATGATGGTGTTTAATAAATGGTAGGTACGATGGAGACATTGGGCTAGCCATTGATGGGGATACACAGTATTTTACCCTTTAGCAATAGAAACAGAAAGCGTTCCTGTTAAACAAGCAAAATGCATTCTCGTTTTCCATCTCTTGCCTCTAGGAGCCAGAGAAAGGTGAGACCTAACACTGGGATAGTGTGGGGCCTCAGGGACTTCTAGAACAGGCTGTCACGGTCTGCCCATAGCAGAGGAAGTCACACATGGATGGAAAACACCTTGAGCTGGGACTCCACAAACCTGTAGGAAGGGAGGGGGGACTGAAAGGCAAGCCAACAGAATAGCTCTTACTTTGGCCTCCGATTCCAAAACATAAGTTGGATTGCTATATTAGGTAAAACTTTTTTTAATGTTCCAGATACATTTACTTAAAAAAATATTGCCTTTGCTTGTGATACTGTAGTGCACCGGGCAGAAAGGGGAGCAGGGAATGGGGCCATCGTAGCCCCTGGCCTTCCTTCGAAGGAACCTGGTTGTCTCTCTCTCTCTGTTACTACTATGGCCGGTATGCAGAGCCATTGGTTAAACACCAAATTGTGACTGTTGCTGCCTTGTAGTTCAAAAACACCTACAAGCACTGCCTCCCTATCACAGAGACTGGGGGATGGTGCATTTTCTCATTCTGTAAAGAAGGAAAAAGTCAGATAATTGTTCCCTGGGGGTATGAACATGACCTGGGCCTGCCACAGTCAGTCACTCACTGGTTTCTCACCGCCAGCCCCTGGTTCCAGAAGTGAGAAAATGTTTGACCTGTCATTGTGAAAGAGCAGCAAGTCCAAGAAATCTTTGGATTCTTGGAGTACTGTGACAGCACTGATTTATTTTCTTAGAAGTACGTGTTTCTAAATAGATATTGTCTTCCAAATGTTCTAAATGCCAAAAAAAAAGACATTTGGTCTTAATTTATAATTGTGTCCTCCTAGGGTTGAGAGACAGTAACTGTCTTGAATTCAATTGGTACAATGCGGCCTTGTAGAACATTTTGCACTAAGTGCCAATAGTTTTTCTGTGAAGTGATACCACTTAAGAGCCACAGTATATATTGTTGTTTAGGCTGCTATTGTTAAATCTCGATTTGCTGTTTATTAGTGGATTGTGAAATCAATTTAATGGGTCTTAATAAGCAATTTTTTAAATGAAATTAATATAATAGAAAATATGGAAGTGAGTGAATTACACATAAGGGTAGAGGCTGTTCATTGAAACTTTTGTTTCAATTGTGTGTGTGTGCATTCTGGGCTGCAATGTCAAATGTATTTCTCACTATGGACCACAAACAAAAAAGTCATTGAAAACCACGGCAGGAGGCTATGTGAGCTATTTCGGTTGTTTGAAAATTTATTTGTTAAATCCTCTTTCTGAATATATCCAATTCAAGTCTAAAGTTTTAAAATAGTTATTGGTAACGATGTTTTTCATTGACCTTCTGATAAAGCAAGTGTTTAATACATATAACCCAGCCTGTTACTGTATATATTCTCTTAGGATGGCACCTAGCCTATCACACAACTGTATGTATGCATGTGTACATACACATATGAAGAAAAAGTGATCAGGTTTTCACTAAAAACTATATTCTCTGTCTGTTTGGGTCACATTGGTGGTTTGGATGAGATCTAAGATTACATGGAGGCATTTTATAAAAGTAGGATATATGTGCTAAATTTTACTTTTTTAACATGTCTAATGTTTAAGCAGTTTTCTTTAAATCTCTGTATAGCCTTAACACAGGTTTAATTTGTGTCTCTTCTTTATGTCTAAATCCACTCTG